AGGGAAGGGAAGGGAAGGGAAGGGAAGGGAAGGGGACGAACCAAAAACTGCAGGTTTTATGCAAAGCTGACAAAAAGCTTTAAAAAGTTACCGCTGGCGATCTGACTTGTAAGTTGCTGTGAGCTCATCAAACATGGCGCTATTCATTTCCATAAATGCCTTCAGCACATTGTATACTAACGCCACAATAGCCCTGTGAAATATGAAAGAAATTATTCTACGCTCACATGTTTGCAATATTCAAATGCATTTTGTTTTCTATCTCACAAAAGATAGAATATTCTAATCTAAGCTACCATTATAGCCCCTTTGAGACACCATTATCTCTGCTGAATGATTTATGTCAGCTTCTATGCCTACAATGTTTCAGGCTTTTGTGCACCTGCAACATTATTAAAATTGATTAAACAAATGTTCCTGCTGCACTGACCATAGAAGACAACAATTTTCATGGATCTTCTGAGATATGGTCTTTCTTCACTACCCCAAATCTATCAGAATTCCATGCTAACTATTTTTGTGATGAGAATTTGCAATCATGGCCAAATACTAGAAAAAGAAATTTAGCCTTGTATTTCAATTATGCTGACAGGCAAAACTAAAATTAGAAAAACAGAAAGAAGATAAAACAGTTACTTGAAGACAGAAGAGCAAAAAAATGTTACATGTAAAATTGAATTTTCCACATTACATTCTTTAAAAACGTAGTAAACTCATGTTTATCATAAAAAAAAAAATACTGAGCTTATTAGGCTCACACTTAAGTATAAGTGGGCACTATTCTGAAGCTTTAGTTTTCACATTCTTCACAGATTTTCTTTCATAACATGTTTCTTATTCAGTTCCTCAAAGTTGTTTTTTTACTACAGATCACACTCAACAAAACAGCACTTTATTAAAGCATTGTTCTGAAGATTCTTGTAAAAACAAGTCTAATCAGGTTCAACAGAAAATACTGATGCATTTTTAAGTAGTAAAGGGATATTTTACTGTTTGTCAGATGGTTGAAATAATATTATGGACTACATTTTCCTAGCTGGTGCTGGCATGTTACTGAGTAACTATAGTATACTACTGATAACATTACCACCATTCAGTTCAATGTAGTTCTCCATATTACAATACAAAAGACAGCACTGAATTCAAAAGAAGAAACAAATGTACTGAAAAATAAGCAGTAATAACAACCAGAACAACTTACGGATTCCAATGTTCTTTGGAAATCCTGTACAGACTGGAAAACATGATAGGAAGTATTACATTGGAATTCTCCTCTATCAAACTCATTATGTATTCATTATTCCAATAGTACAGTGCTCTTTCAGCCACCTTGGGAAAAAAAAATTAGTATTTTCAAAACTGTTTATGCCTAAATGCAAACAAAAACAAGTGAAAAACATGCCCAAGAAGAAATTAGGTAACACCCAACTGATGAAAGAAGAAATTTGCTTGTGTATAGAGAAGTTTTCTTAGTTGTCTCCCCAGAAATCTGATAAAGGAGTTTTCTGGGCATGCACGTATATGTGTGCACATACTGGGCCATAACTATCTGCCCCTCCTGCTTGCATTGCAACACTCCATCCACCATCTTGTCAATTTTGACCCCACCCCTGCAGATACTGCTGTGCTGGGGGGAGCTGAGAAGAGAGAAAATTAAGTAAGGCAAGGCAAACTCCATTCAAAATTACTAGCTCAAACTTGGAAAGGGGAATGAGGCAAGGACAGAATTCTCAGAACCACAACTGAAACATTATAAATCACTTCCTATTCCAGATTATTTACTTCCAGAAAACTATCAAACTACCCTCAGAACAGCTGGACTGGTAATATACCAGAAGAAAAACTGAATGTTTTACAGAACATTAAAACATTCCATCCCTAGGACTGTTAATTTTGTACATTCCTATTAAATGCTTTTAATTATTTCCCTCTCTGGGGAGCAGAAATATTAAATTACATTTGATGGAGTCTGTTGACACAGAAATATGAAGAATGTTTTCTAGGACTTCCAGGCCAACAGAGCAATTAAAAAAAAACTTAAACTTTTTAACACCTATTTGCATTTATTTTTCAGTAATCTGCAAGAATTTTACTCGAACTGATTCTGTGCTGTTTCTTTCATAACAATCGCCTACCAAAAGTTAAAGGTCTGAGGGGTAGGGGAATACTGTATGTGGAACTTGCTTTTTACAAACTGTAAAGCTCTTTCATGAATAAAAACAAGGAACAAAAACCCTGAACCTATTCACCTAAAAGGAGCAAATATGCTTGCAAATTTCATTATATTTTTCCAGCAAATACAACTACCAATATTTTTCTTGAAGAAATAATAACAAATATAACAATAATAGTAATAACAGCTGCAACTACTACTACTAGTAGTATAATAATAATATCACACAAAGCCATTTACATCAATTTGACTGAAATTTGTCCAATCCACTCCTTGTAATTAATTTATAATAAAAATGATAGAAATGAAGGTTTGGGTTTCTGAAAAAGAACTAGATCTAGTGAGGATGTCAATTCCAATTAGACTCCACATTAATGTGAGGCAATTTGAGTTGTTTCCCAAAACCCAGTCTGTACCTAATCTTGCAGACATGACACATTTATAATAATTAGCCTTGTCTAGTTGCAATACTGACCTGAAAATGAGGGCTAGAGACACATTTAGCTAATTGTTTAAACAATGGTTCCTGAATTTTGACAAACTGTGAAGGTTCAATCACATCCAATATTTCTTCCAGCTCTCCAAGGAACATGACCTAAAATAAATGTTTTAAAAACTATTAAATACGAACATGTTTTCCTTATAATCTGTCTATTAAGTTTCCAAGAAAGCATTAATTCAGCTGAATTTTATGAACAAAAGGAATGTTTATTTGCTAATACTAGCTGCAATTATCAGGCTGTTTCTCAAGAAATATATGCTAAAAACAGTATTTTTAACTGATAGAGAAATATCATGTAACGCATGTTTCAATATGCTTTATCATTATAAGACTGTATTTCAGATTGGCACCTAACATTAAATATAAGGGTTTAAATACATTTAAGAACATCTCTTTACTTTTTCCAGATGGCATTAAGAAAGTAACTATTATTTTATTCCTACCACAATATGGAACCTAATAATATTGCTTATGTCAAAATCTAAGTTGGACTGCTGTCTAACTTTAAACAAAGTAATGGACTTTTGGCATCTGAGTAGTCAATGATGAAACTACACATACATAAAAATTAAGAAGCGTGTTCTACTTTTCACATGTGTGTCATTGAGACTGGAAGCAAATGAGAAAACATTTGTTGTGACATCACAACACAAAATACACCACTTTGGGATGAAGTTGTATGCAAATACATAAGGAGCAATTCACATTTTGACAAAAGTTCTATTTGCTATGGACAACCATGGCTTTATGTTCCTCTAGGCATTATATTCTTCACTGTGTGAAGAAATACAATTAATTTCTGTCCCAAGATTCCCCTTTTTCCTAAGTATTCTATTTTAAATAGGAAAGCAATCTAAGCTCATCAAATATACCTCTTTTTGACTGCAAGTTTTCGGCCAGAATTTCATTAAACCTCTAATGACCTAAATTAAAGCAGAAAAAGTAAACAGACCAATTAGATATGGTAATATACCAGTCTGCAAAATTTTTATTCAAGATTTTAAAATGCTGATCTGTGCATATATATCTTATATTTACAGGTTCTGTGAGTGAAGGGTCTTTCTCTAGAAACTGCACGATGCAATACGCCAACTGCAGAAACAAAAAAGAACGTGTGCATTAAAATCTTTAACTGAAAGGAAAAGAAATCAAAAATTGTTATAGTGACTAATCTTGACGTATAATTTGAATTGTAACTACTAAGGGGAGACTGCTCATTGTACTTCCTGGCTCTTTCATCCTACTTTTTGCCACAGTGTCTTGCACCTTTCATCAACTGCAACTGTAGTCTGGGGGATCCCTTTGAAACACCGTAAGGAGTTATGCAGGGAGCTGTAATAGAAAAGGGCAGATCAGGCATTCCTGTCTTCCTCTACTGCCTTGTCTGCAAGTGGGCTGTTTGGGATATAGTTTATATTTCATCACAAGTCATATTCTGCTCCAAGCAAGACTGAAACACATTTGGTCTAAATCACATTCTACAGTATACCAGAGCAACTACATAAATGTGAATTTAATAACATTTACAATTCAGCCTTGAATGGCTTGTCTTGAGGATGTGTTTTCTTTACATTTTTTTGGCAGCACTAAGCATCTTGTGAGATTTTATGAGATGAGCTAGTGGCTCTGTAGAAAATAGGTATATAAAAAGACTAACCTGCATAAACATTAGAGGAAAAGTTTACCAAACAATACTTTCTGTGACTCAGGAAAAGGGTAGACATACCATATGGTAAGAATTATTATCAGTTTAAGAAAAGAAGAATATTATACAACCTAAGGTACAGGAGCCAATTCAGAATTCATGCTGCATATTTCCACTAATGCAATGCAAACAGCCCATGCAGTCACATCTGACACAGAGTCAATTTTACAACACCAGAAACAAGTTTTTAGCTCTATCTAATCTCCTTACTGGAGAGAAGGGTTTTCTCTCCATAAGAACATAAGACAAAAGTTTTAAACCCCTTATTTTCTACAGTTCCTCCCATTTCAGATAGATAACAATACAACTTTCAACTGACACAGAGTTTACCAAAAGAAAATTAAGGAAAAAGAAAGGTAGAAAAGTATATGATTATGACCATCTGTTCCACCCTAATCAACTAGGGGGGACATCTAACTTCTGAATTTCCAACTTCAAAAGGAAGACAGCAGAGAGAGAGAGAGAGACAGAGAGACAGACAGACAGACAGACAGACAGATGCTTGATTCAGAACCTGTTCTATTTTTTATGACAGAACCCATTCTATTTTGCTCTTATCCAAATGTGTTAATTCAGGGGTGGGAAACTTGTGACTCCAAAGCTACACAAGGATTCAAAGTTTTTCTTTTGTAGCCTTCCAAACAACTATTGAATGTTGCTAATGTGATTGCTATAAATCAGTGACAGTTTTCCATGACTTTAAGGTAGGATACAGAAATGCATCAGAAGCCCTAATAGGTTTAACTCTTAAAAAACTAAGGAAACCTACCCATCCCCAAATTTCAATCATACTGATGTGGCCACGCAATATCATTCACTGTGGCACAGCTAGCAAAACATCATTCATCTTTCTGCTAGATGTATCTCTCAATGCAACATTAAACAATGTTTAAAAAAATATTCGTAAGATCTAATTAGTAAGATTTGTGTTATTATCTTCCCATACATTTTAAAAATGCCTCCCCCACATTATACTAAAAATAAAAATTAACAGCAATTATTTGAGGGATTTTACCAAGATATTGAAGTCTACGGATTGTACAATATATTTATACGCATGAAGTCAAAAGTTTCAAATACCAATCATGACAAAGATCTTTACCTGAAAATGGGGCCAAGATCCTCTGCATAATGGGTGATAATAAAATGGACTAGAGATTTCCTTCCACCAACAACTCACATCTTAGACAACTTTCACACTCTGAATTACTATATACTATAGCTAGGTTCACACAAAGCATTGACTTCTTTGGTTTGGCTTAGCAAATTGTGAAAATTTAGTGACTGTGACTTACAAGTAATGTTTTATGGCTTAGTGTATTATAAGAATCCAGCCAAATGTGGCTTATTTAATAAACCAAGCTTACAACAATCCATGGGTTAGTACAATTTGTGAACCCAGTCTATGCTTCATTATGCATGGTGGTAGATAAATTCTTCTTACTTAGTGATGTTGTACATTCAGTATAGAACAGAATGTGGCACAGTTCTTACAAAAATATAATACAAAAAATAGTACTAATGTTTCTACCTGTGCATGGAACAGCGATAGACTTCTAACGGTATGTAGAGGGATCAGTACTTTCACCAAAAACTGTTTATGCTCTGCTTTAAGAGGTAAAGCAAAGCCATTGATAATACTAGAAACAAGAAAAAAAGAAACATTTTATTTATTTGTTATCTAGGTTTATTTGATGTATAACTTGCTTTTCCTCCAAGCTTACATTGGGCTCAACCTTCATTTTATCCCCACCACAGCAACCTTGTGAGGTAGGTTGGGCTGAGAGAGTGCGACTGGTCCAAAGTCACCCAGTCAGTGTCCATGGCTAAGGGTGGACTTGAACCTGGATCTCCCTGGAGCTCATCCAACATCTTACCCATGGCATCCTCAATATACACCAATCAGAATATTATTAGCAGAGGTATGTAATACTGAGATCTGAAATGGGCAAAACTGCTTCTAATCTGGCACAGGTGCATTTTCTGCACCTGTGAGCAACTCCTTAAAAGAGTCACACCTTTCCATGACATTGCACAGAAGCTGCGCAGGTTCGAGAAAATACTCTTTGAACTCAGGAGATGTTACGGAGGTAATGACAGATGCAGTCACTGCCTTGTTGCCACTTTCTTAATACCTCCTTAGTTCCAACTGAGACTTCATGACTATTCTGTAAGACCAGTAAAAGGTGTGACTCCTTTTGAGGAGCTGTGAACAGGTACAAAGAGAATGACTATGTCAAATCTGAAACACCTCTGCTGCCTTTGGATCCAAATACTGCACATTCCTAATCACTAATCACATCTATATAGGATTAGACATTGAAAAGACCACAACGTATCAATATATTGATATGTACAAGCAGTGCATATTATTCTATTATAATGATGACTGATTAATTTACTGTTTCCGACTGCTTTAATTCCTGAGATGTTCTGTACTGGTTCGCTCATGTATACTGCTCATTTGGCCAGAACAGGGAAGTTTATAAATACTGATAAATAACCAAATAAGCTAGAGACTTTTCTCTCATTATTATCCATTATTCATATTTATATTTCACCTTTTCTCTGGGAGCTCAAGACAGCATACATGGATGTTATAACAAAAACTAATTTATTAGCTCTTAAAAAGGCCCTGAAAACATATTTTTTGTAAAGGCTTTGACTGATTTTGATCATTTATTATACTTGCTTCATTTGCATTAATTGCTAGTTTAACTGTTTTTTATATTTTATATTTCTTGTAAGGTAGCAAGAGACTTTGGTACTGGACAGTATACTAAATTAAATAAATTTAATTTAAATCAAATTAGATCAAATCCTGGAAGTGGTCACCTGTCTTCTTGTCCTATGAATGAATGAATGAATGAATGAATGAATGAATGAATGAATGAATGAATGAGTGAATGAGGGTCAGGATATAATGGAAATGTAACTGTGTGACCTGGCATCTAAATTTAGCTTTTACATTACTTTGAATGAAGTAAGCTTTTGCTAATAAATAAAGAAATATATAGTTAAATGGATGCTTTGCAGCTAAGAATTCAGAAGCCATAAACTCTGAAAAAAGGCAGTATATTTACATAATATTACTATATTTACATCTGGTAAATATAAGTGCCACAGAGCAAACATTCAGATGGAGTAAATGTAATAACAGTACAATGATAATGACGTTCCTTTTTTCCAAGTAAGTATGTTTGGATATTTCCATACTAATCTTCCCCGAATTTAAAATATTCTTCACAAGTCACAATTGACACTAATGCAGGAGTGCTATAGGCCACATTAATTGTAAGATTGAGACTTCATTACCTTCCTAATATTTCCAGCAGTTCAGCCACACCATTAAAGTGTTCAGTTTCATAAACAAACCTGCAAAAGCAAATTGCATAGATTAAACATTCATACTTATTCAGTGATACCATCATATAACTCCAAAGAAAGTTTCCTGTGCCTCTATCCTCCTAAAACTTACCGTAGAAAAATATTGTTAATCTGTTTTCTGATAAATGCTCTAAGACCAAGGAACTTGCCATAAATTCTGTGTAAGACTGTTTTTAAATAGTCCCGTTCCCGAGGATCTTCACTGTCAAATAACTCCAAAAGCTATTAAAATAAAGCAAAACACAACAGGTCACAGACATTATTTGACTCTAAGCTTTAATATATCTGAAACGCTTTGATCTGTCCAAAAACTGCAGTTCTCTTTTTCTATTTACTATATGTTCTGAAATCATTTAGCACATCATTAGTTTTTGTCTTTTCTGCCTGATCCTTGCCACCTGGTTCTATATTAGCAAATGATAACAGAGGAGGATCCGACTTCAGACTTGCTGTAGGACTTAAGGTATATTCATATGGGGCAAGAAATTTTTCAATCAGTGGATTCTGGCAAATTCTTATGTAAAATTTTTGTCAAGTTTCTTAGTGCCAACATTTACCATTTCTTGAAGTTCACATCCAGTGAACATAGCTACGATCCTTCAATATTAAATATTGAATATGAAATATTCATAAGAAATACCCCTGAAATGAATGAGCACAAGTAACTAAACACTGCTATTCATCGGGATTAATAAAAGCTAGTATAATTATTAATACCATACAATTAAATAAAACAGAGCTCTGTACCTGTAATACAAATTTCTGATCTATATACTTTTTGGCAATGCTGGGCTGAAATTCTTGGCTTTCCAAAAATCGTATGAAAAATTCATATACAAGCTGTAAAAAATAAAAACACAGGTTAGTCCTGACTAAATGCATGCTGTAATTCTACTGAACATATCAATACACTATTATTTTGGTTTTTACTAAGAGAAAGTAAATTAACATAGAAAAAGATATCATCCTAGATCACTTGAGCTGCCCATCTGCTGCCCCACTTTCCATACATAAAAGCCCTAAATGTTCCCATTTATACAAATTCTGTTGTTGACACTACTGTTCAGTCCAAATTTTTAAAAATACTGGGATATAAATCCAAAGAGTATCTTATTTCCATGTATTCACGTGAATCTGAGTGACTGAAACCTAGTGCTCATTAATTGTTATTTATCATCAGAAGAACTCATGCTAAGAGCAGGCACTCTCCACCTCTATACTTGTTCACTGAGTTGTCTCCCACAGGTAATCAACAGCATATTCCTTCTGCCCTCCAGACTTTTGAAATCACATAAAATAAAGCAATTACAATGTTGACGAGAGTTGATTAAACAGTTTGGATTCATTTAATAGTAATCAGAAAATGTTCAGGAGCATTCTACACTACAGCAATAGAGATGCCTGTTACAGAGCAATCTGATTTAATCAGGAGTCTGTTGCATAGTACAAAGATTTGGCTTCTTTCCACCTGAAGGTCACTTATATTTACATTCTCTTTCTTTAAAGCCTGCAGAATAAAAAAATTATTGGGTCCACACAATACGGAAGAAAGATTTATACAACCCTTCTTCACTGCCACTTCTCTAATAAAATTCCCTCTCAGATGCATTTTAAAGAAATTTATTCAGAGACAGTTTATTTTTTACTCTTGATAGGGTGTGCTTGCTCAAATGGAGCTGTCTCACAAACTGGGGATTCTTCCTGACTCACAGTTCTTAGTTGATCAGCAAGCAGATTGCCTTCACACAATCATGGTTGCAGCTGCAATTCACTCTGAATGGGGCTGCCCCTGAAGACTGTTTGGAAGGTTCAGTTGTTCAGTATGCAATGGCCCAAGTAGTTATTCGAGTACCTAGGTTCACCTATGCAATATGCACTATTGTGGGAGCCACACTGGTTGCCAGTAAGCTCCTGGATGCGATTTAATGTGCTAGTTATCATCTTTAAAGCCTGATATGCCTTAGAGCTCGGTATCCCTAAGACTACTTTCTCCAGGTTTCATCTGCCTACCTAAGTGAGGGAGGGCTTGCTGGGGGTACCAAATCTGAGGGAATGCCCTCCAAAGAAAGTCCTTGCTTCAAACATCTCACTGATGCTCCCCCAACCTCTGGAATAGCCTGTCCCTGCTATCTGGGATATCAGATTTCTTACTGATGCTCCCTGAACCTGTGGAATAGCCCACCCCTTTCTATTATAGTTTTGAGAGCCAAGAAAGCATGGCTCTTCAGCAGGCATTTGGGGATGTCTGAAGATTCTGCTTTCCAAGTGACATAATTTATTAATACAATCACCTGTAAATGTGGCCATGATGCCTCAAGAGTAGGTTCATCTTCTTCCGGATCAAACTCATTGCTATCACTTGGAGGAAGCGTTCGGAATATATTGCAAGAAACCTTGAAATGGTAAAGAAAGAACATTAAAATCTCTACTACAAATATCGGCCAATTACAAGGCCTGAGATGCAGCAACTAAAATATAACACTTTTTGGATAATTTACAAATTACTAGAATTCATTCCACTCAAGATTCTGGAGAATCATTCTTAGATAATAACAATTTCTATAGCACTTTATGATTAACAGGTGCACTAATGATCCTTGTCTGATTTTTACCCTTGTAATAAAAGCAGGTAACAGCTTCTGACAACACTAAAGAGACTACTTTTTTGCCACTGCTCTAATCTGATTAGCACCTTTAAATTCCAGTCTGAAGGAGCTACAGTACTGAATAGGAGAGAACAGGAGAATGTTATCCTTGAATATGGTGTCTTTCTAAAACCCTAGCCCTAACCCTAACTGGTCTGCCACTGCCTTTTTCTATTCCCTGCTTAGCTTCTCAGATTAGCCAATATTGAGTAAGTGCCGCCATTTGTTGAAGCACAGCATTAGTATAGAGTATTTAAAGGCTTATTATTTATTTAAAGTAACAAATAATAACTCATATACTTTTGTACATGTAAATAAAAGAAATACAGGTGCAGAATTTGATAGGCATTTCAGTTTTTATTAAACACTTCTATGGATTTTTCACCAATAAAACAGATTTGGACCAAGGAGAAAAGTACCTCTACAGAGTTCTAAGGATACAGAAATAAAAGTCACATTGAGAAGAATTAAAATTGAGAAACAGTAACTAGGAATAATTTTTTCTGTAATTTATATCTCCTCACCACAAGAGGGTGCATTCTAATATACTGTTGCTAGTAAAAACTTAATTACTTTTACTGAGATCTTTGGAATGTATCTCACAGCATGTTATTCTTAGAAGAAAGAAGCCTGTTAGTAATAAATACCACAACTCATTTAATCTTCCTTTGGGATATATTTGTTAATAAAATGTATGTTCTGTTTTCTATAAATTTAGATCCATCTCACAGGATCTGGTATATCAGATTCAATGAAATCCGGAATCAAATTAGGCAGTTTGGGAGAAATGAAGGAGGATTCCCTACAATGCCTGTTTCCAACAGCTTTATGTCTCCAACGGACATGGCATTTGCCATTTATACCTACAAATATAACTTAACACTGGCCCTTATCATAGTAATCAAGACAATTCTAATTTGTAAAAGCATGTAAAAAAAAATCAACAAAACTACTGAAGCTGAGAAAATTGATAGTAATAAATCGCTTCAAACAATGATTAACTATTTTGCAAACCAGAATATATTGTCCTCTGTGTTATATAAGAATTCCACTTTCTAGAGAAGTCATATATCCAATCTGAATATGTCCCTAAATTTCCCTACCCACCTCCAAAATAAAAATTAACAATGAGGCATGCTTCTGAGGGCAGAAGCAGCCTCTATACAGGTAGTCCTTGAGTTATGACCATTCGTTCAGTGACCATTTAAAGTTACAACAGTGCTGAAGAAATGGACTTGCAATTGGTCCCCAAAAGTTATAGCCATTGCAGCACCCCCGCGTTCACGTGTTTGCAATCTAGGTGCTTGGCAACCTCTTCACACTTACAACCAGTTGCCAAGCACCTAGTGATCCGGTGATCGCCATATGCAACCTTCCCTGATGGCTTACCACAAGCAAAGTCAATGGGTAAGCTGGCAGAGGAAGTTGCAAGTCGCTTGGGTAAATCTCCCCCACCCTCCCCAGCCTTTGCTTGCACGCATCGCACCCTCCTTCCCCTCTTCACTCGCTCGCATGCACTGCACCCTCTTCCCCGTTCACTCGCTTGCATGCACAAGTGCCCTACTTCCCCCTTCACTCGCTTGCACCATATCCTCCTTCCCTCACTCGTACACACCAGCACCCTCCTTCCCCTTCACTCGCCCATATCCATGCATGCACCACACCCTCCTTCCTTCCTTCGCTCACTCGCATGGCACCCCCTTCTCGTTATGTGTTGCATGAATAATATTCAAAATGTTTTTGTGTGTGAAAATTACATTTTAAACATAATCTGAAATTATATTCTTTAAAATATCTGGTATAGACCCTTACTCAAAACTAAACACTAGTTTTGAGGATTTTTATGCTAAATATATATCATTGGATAGATATTTTTTGCAATTCTTGAAGTAATCTGCTTTATTACTCATAGGAACATTTGTCAATTGATACACCAGCAATCAAATGACAAGTATACTGTTTAACATTTATAGGATGCAAACATTAGGACTAACATTTTGACAAGCAGGTTGAATAATATATTACCATAGTCAGTTATACTGTAAAGCAAAATGCATAACCTGTGACTTCAGACACACATGTAGCCCCCAAAAGCCTTTAAAGTGAGCCCCAAGGGCCTCCAAAAGTTCTTACCAAATTAGAATCCTTAACAGAAGAGAAATATTATTCACTGGGGACTAACTATATTAATTGTATTTGTTTTAACTAAACTGTTAATGAGTTCAAATCCAATTTGTCCTGTCTAACTTGCCACTTTTTAGAATACAACATTCAAAGACCCCATGGACCATAAAAATATTCTGAGCCTCTGCCAGAAAATTCCATAAAAAGCAAAACATTATTTATGCATAGACATCACATACAAAATATATTCATTAAAATTTCAAGTATAAGGCCCCCAGCATCAGAATGTAGCCTCATAGATTTCATGCTGCTGAAACAGTGTAGGAAAATAGCCAATTTTCATCAGTGTAATTTTCAGTCAATGTTGAAGTTCTGGTCAGTTTTAAGGGTAGTAATGGGTACACAAGTTTTGGATTAAGGAAAATCCTTCCATTCCCGTCCTAAAAAAGAAAACCCCAAACAAGTAAAAAAGCTGGACATTTTGAGCTCTGTCCATTCCAGTGACAAACACATCAACAAAAGATCTTGTGGGCCACAGGCAGATCAGGAGTTACACTGTGGCCTCTGACCCCAAAATTGCTACTCCCGCTCTATACAAATCTTGTAACCATCTGACTGTATAAATGGAATAGATACAGGTATATTCCAGTTAAAATAAACATCTTTTGGGCATGACTACTTGTTTTGTCTTTACAGGTAGTCATTGCTTAATGACCATTCATTTAACAATGGTTCGAAATTACAACGGTCTCAGAAAAGGTGCTTGATGGCCTATAAAGCACTTCCAGCCATTATAAAATGTAGCACTGCCCCCCCCCCACAATCACATGGCTGCATTTTAGGTGCTTGGCAACGGACTTGCATTTACGACCAGTTGCCAAGCACCCCGCAATCATGTGATCACCATTTGCAATCTTCTCTGCTGGCTTCCCCATTATATAATTAGTTGTATAATATAGTTCTATGTAGACAACAGCTATATAAAAATGAAAATCTAGGCTACAACTTTTAGTTCTCCCTATAATGTATTATGAGGGACTGGAATAAAAAGGAGTTTTATATAATGCATAGGTTGAACAAAGGCTTTATTTAACAGAAATCAATACATTCTTTGCAATAATTTAATAACAAGTTAAATAGATATGATTAAAAATCAGGTAAGGAGAATATTTCTTTATTTCGACGAGTTGAATATAATATCACTAAGCCATTATCAAAATATGGCCAAAGTAAACAAGCTAGTATCTTGGTTACCCACATTCTTGTGGATATCCCCTGCACCTGCCAGGCTCACTTTCCCACCATTGTAATGTACTTTAAATATATTTTCATTTTTTCAAAATAAAGGTATCCAGTTTCACCTTATTTCAAGTTATTTCTAGATTTCACAAAAATATTTTTATAGAATTCTATTTTCAAATTCCTCTCTTCTATGACAAACACAAACATTTCTAGATCTTATAGCATATGCTCCAAATATACATAGAGTATTTGCTAAAAGTCTGCTACGTACAACATAACTTTGGGAGAGACACAATGTAGGGAAATGGGACTCTGAGTTACGCAGAGGTCTTTGTTCTTCTGATGTTGGTAGTTATCTGAAGAACATCTGGAGTTAAAGAGGTGACTTAGCAGATTCCAGTAACAACAATGTAGTGATACATTTGGCCAGGCACCAAAGCAACTATTCATCATTATAATCAGGGAAGACATAACCACTAATATGTGCATAGTTCATATAGAAAATAATCTGTGCTGCCATCTTTCCCGATAGCTCTTTTCCTTGTAGAGAAGTAGTGGACCGCATTCCACCAAATAAAGTTCCAGATATGTTATAAAGTTAACTCCACATAAAGTTCATTAAAGAAACTGAGTCTGGGAATCACTATTATCTGAATGTTTGTGGCTACAGCTGTCCATTTTCAGGAAAAGGAATAGCAGTTGTACCAGCTAAAACTAGTACAAAGCACTTCCAGTTAGTAGTGCCCCCTTGAGCATCCAGAAATGATATCATATTAATCCCAAATTGTTAACTACAGCAACTAAGATTATTGCTAGTTGCTGGGGATCAGCCTAGAGGAATCTCACTACAGTACTTGGGAAATCAAAGTAGTTAGTAATACAAGATGCAATCCAAACAACACTTAAAAAACACTGATTTATAATTATATCTGCCTGCAAAGAAAATTTCCTAGACTAGTATTTTCCTAAATACTATGCAGTTTTTAAACCAGCATAAAATCTTTCTGAACTGTAGCAAATTAACTCAGTATTTGAAAGTCCTAGATATAAATAAAGCTAAGAATAAAAGATGCCTTTATATTCCCCCACTTCTTCTACTAGGCATATTATCTGACTCTATTCCAACTGAGAATAACTGCAATTTAAATGACTAAAGTGAAAAATGTGTTTCCCATTTTACATTTGAAACACTACTGTGGAATACTGGCACACAAATGTAACATCCTTATTAAACCTGCTTATCAAATAATGGAATGTATAAAGCAATTATGTTTTTAAAAAAAACTTACCATTCTAACTACTTCAGGGTAAGTCTGCTCAGTCAAACACCCTCTGCTTATTGTAATGTAATCCACAAGTTCATTAAGAGTTGAACGCTTGTATTCTTTCATTTTAAGATCTGATAGCGTGTCCATGAAGTCAAAAATTACACAGCACTGCTGAAGTTTCTTTAGAAACAATTCAGGTTGATCTGAAGATGGAACGTCTGCAAGATGAAAAGAAGAATTCTAACACTGTTGCATAAAACAAGTTGTGATTAAGAAGACAATAACAGAAACTAATAATATCCATTTTTTGCAAAATAGGGACTAAATTAGTGAGTTTTGATACTTAATATTTTGGAGAGAGAATTACATATTTAGTTATTAATTTGTAATACTTATATTATTTCAGAAATATAGCTAGGTCACTGATTTGGAGTCAAATTAATGGAAGCTTGAACAGCCTAAATCCTGGAAAAGGAACTAACATTCTAAATTCCCACCTAATAGAAGTAGAAAATGCTACACAACTCAATATAACTCAAAGAGGAAAAAACTTAACAACAAACACAGGTGGTTGTTTACTTTTGACAGTGACATTTAATAATCCTCAATATAGTATTCAATACAGAGTAATAAGCAACAAAGTCCCAATATTCTATAGTAATTTTATTACAATATTATCGATTTACCTAGTCACGTATTTACTCATTAACTTATTATATTTTTAATCAACCCAATAACCAACATTCTGCAGGCTAGTTGCACAGGTTATATTTTTAACTAATAGCTTAAAAATTCTTTATTGAATAAAAAACCCCCTACTTTTTATAATATTACTAAAGATATAACAGTGCAAGGGGGAGAAAGTATTGAATAAATTTTCACATTCTCCAAAACTCTTTGGTGGGCTTGATGATAAGCAAATCAATCTGCTATTTGTAATAGTTTCAAGATGGAGTATAAAAGATGCTATGCATATGTAATCATGGCATGCAGTAACTTCATCTCCTACAACATTTAGTAGATTTTATATGTAACTTGTGTGAAAAAGTAAAGAAATAAAGAGAAACATGACATATTAACTTTTTGTTCTTCATTTTTTATTGTATTGCTTTAATAGAATAGATTAAAAAAGACAGAAAATACAAGACAGAAAAAGAACTAAATAGAAAGCAACTACACACACACACAAATTTATATAACTCAATTTTTAAACAACAAATTGAACCTTGACCACACACAATCATATTGTTCAGTCTTTTCTCTGCAATGATGCATAGTCAATTCAAAGGCTGAGAGTTCATACATTTTGTCAAGCCAGCTTTTGTTATCTGGTACATTAGTATCTTTCCAACGCTTTTAAAAACCAGAGACCAATAGACTTGGTGAATAGCACCAATTCTTTATTCCAAACTTCTTGTGAATTATCAATATTTATTTTAATAAAATTCTTTAATTGCTAACAAAACTGATTTGTTAGCTTAGCCTTAAGAAAGCTTTACCTAATATGCTCAAAATCATAGAAATTTCTGAGAATGCAATACATCTGGTCCAAAATGAAAACATAGTGTTTTATTTGAATGTGCTGCCATTCAATGGTTTTAGGCAGGTTATATTCTTCTTGTAACTCTCAAACGTCTTTGATAACAATCTCATTTTTAGCCCAAATATTCCTGTAAAAAATTACCTGCCATTTTAAAATAAGGATTATTCCAAAGAGCCAATTTCTCATGAAAACCTGAATGTCTTTCCCAATTACATCCAAATATATCCAGCTGCCTTCAGTGCTGGAAATACAATAGAATTTTGGCTACAATTTGAACCAAAAACTAAGGTGAAAAATAATAACTCATTAATTGGAAAATATCATTTATATTCCAATGAAAAACAAAGGCCAATAAATATGTCCAACATATAATTGAAAATCAGGAAAATTAAAAACCCAGGCAGCTTCAACTTTGAAAAAAAGAACCGTGGGTTCCAAGTATTCAATATAAAAGTAATAATTGAATCAGTAATTTGTCTAAAACATCTAAGTGGAATTAACACAAATACCTCTCTTTAAATATGTACCAATTAGAGATTATATTCATTTTAACAGCATTTATTTTTTCTCATCGTCTCCCTGGTATTTTTAACCAAGTAGCAATATCACAGTTAATCTGTGTGTACACAATTTGAGATGTTCAGGTTTCCCCAAATATTTAAGACAGTTCAAACAAACAATAAAACCCATCTTTACATGTTTCCATAAAACTACATTACTAATAGGCAATACGTTAGATTTGTTCTAATTTATTGTATATGAGGAAAATTAACCATATTGTTGTACAACTTCCATGAAATTAGACAGAGTTTTGGTAATCATTAACAAAGTCCAATACATTTTCTGCATACAATAACTTGAGTCCTACACTAGTTACACCCTCTACTCCTTTAACAACTGCAATCTGTTCCTTAAATTGGAAGCAAAATCGTTGCTAAGCAAACATATGACTGAGAGAGAGAGAGAGAGAGAGAGAGAGAGACTGTAAAGATCACTGATTGCTGCTATCTCATTTAAAGTTCTCTCCTACAGTCCTGTGCCTGACCCATTTTTTTCTTTTTTTGCCCCCTCAAAGGGCAGAGAGATTGCTTAAACAAGCTATTTCTTCCTGAGCTGTTTTCCTCCAAAACATAGTGATTCTCTAAAAAATGCTAACCACAATTTAACAAGCTCAGCTCTGTGACCTTAATTGTTGATTAAAATCCTCCAGCCCCAGCCCTGCTGCCTGAAACTGACAAGATTGTAATCAGTTTCACACTAAAAGCTTTTGTTAAGTGCAGGAAATTTGGTTGTCAATGTATGCCTTGGTCGCAAAATTATTTTTTAAAATATTACCAACACATTTTACCAGCAAACGATCACTACATGAGGTAGCTGCTAAATGAGGAGTGGCTGTATCTGTATATCCTAAATATTGCTAGATTGCGTAATAAGACAAATCAAACGTTCCAAAAACAAGACAGGCATCAACTGACAGATTCCATGTTGCATTCTGATTGTGGGGAAGGAAATAATTCCATTTGTAATAACTCAAGAATAAAAAATAGAATAATGATTTTTAATCCAAGAGGGAAAACCATTTTCCATAAAATGTTCTCAACATTTAATCTGTCTCATTTCAAAGGCTTTTTGTAGATCCAATGACACTACAACAATTTCAGGAGTGTTCGAATGAGCTGCTAGAATATTCACCAATAAGTTTGCCATCCTTTCACAAAACCAGATTATAGAAGAAGTATTATTGATGGTAAAACCTTACATAACCTATTTGCTACAGTGGCAGTCAATGTTTTTGCATCCACACTTAACAAGGTTACAGGGAGTATGCCCTATAGGGTCCTTTCCAATTTTTAAGATAACCAAACTATAGATGTCATATAATGGTACAGGAAATACCCTTTTTTTTTTTTTAAAGACTCATTGTGGAAGAGTGAACTCACCACCCAGAGTGCATAGGCATTTCCCCCCCCTTCCTAGGATCTAGAGTTTTGGTACTGCCTGAGAAGAAGGGTTAAAACAGCCCCACCCTCTCCTTAATTGGAGAGTCTGTTTCATAAAAGGGAACTGAAAGCAAGCATATGTGTGGATGTGTCAAGAAAGGAGTCAAACCAGAAAGCCAGTAGAGACACTGGAAAGAGAAATCTCCAACCCAAAGGCAAGTACCGCAGCAGCAATCTTCAGACAGCAAGAGAAAACTTCAGCTCCTTGAGCTGCAAGACTGGCGGAGAGGCAGAACTGAGAGGGGAGGAAAAGAGCCTGACCAGAGTCTGCAAACCAAAACAAGCCCACTGCATGCAGCTGCCCAGGTGCAGAGCTCTACAAATCCACTCCAAAAACAGAGGACTGTGAGTCTTGGGGGAGGGGTGGGGGGGTGGGGAGAGAAAAGCCCATTCGCAAATCTACAGAGGAGTAAAAAAGGTTTTCATATGCAAATAGACTGAGATTGGCTACAAGAGCTGAAGACCTGGGGGGAAAAGAAAGATTTAGAGCTAAGAAATAGTTAAGAAAAGATAATGCTACAAAAAACAGAGATAGGACCATAGACATAGAGATAGAAATTTATAAACTGAATAAAATAGAAACAGTTGTAAACTTACAGTAATAAGACAGTAGAATAAGTAGAAACAAGCATAGAATTAGCATTAAGTTTAGAAGTAGGAGTTTAATTTTGTACAATAAAACAATTTTGTGGGAAAAACAAATGCAGTCTGTGTTCTGTACCATATTAAGAAAAACCCTAACACTTGTTATAAACATTTGGTCCTATAATTATTATAAATATATATTTTTTGTACCACTTTGGGGCCTTCCTGGATTTCACGGAATCATTTGTATCAAATATTTCCACAACATTAGAGATGCAGCTAAATCCTTCAAATGAATGTGAAAAATATTGAAAAAATTATTTTATTTAAAAAACTTTCAATCTCAACAGATGTATCTGCATTTACACTATAAAAAGATACATACAAATCCATTTATCCTTATGTAATATCTCCCAGGAATATCTTATTTTAGTGATGTTACACTGTTTCAATAGAGAAGCCAACAGTTTCCCTGGTTTTTTTTCTGTTCCCAGAATGTCTACTATATATACTTTAATGAAAATTCCATAATAGAAGCATATAACAAGCACAGACAATTGTATAAGACCATTAGATTGTTAGCTTAGTCAACCTAAAGGCACTATATAGTGTCAAGATACAATTTCTCATATACATATTCAAAATTTCCTTTCCTTTACACTATAGTAAGATTTTTTTTCTTTTATATGCTATATTCTTAATCCATATATTAGCTTTAAACACTTTCCAAACTAGCCAACATATTTTTTGTTAGCTATTTGGAAAAAAAAATCTCAATCTTTTTGTGTCAGTCAATGAACTGTGGGTTCCCTAACAGTGATATATTAAAATGCAACCTTACATCAGCTTGACTTTTCTTATTAACAATGGATAATATAACCAGATCATGATCCAATTTTGCAACAGAACCAGTAAAACAGATTTGATTAACTATGGTTCAAGTGAATATGTGCCATGAGAAGTTGAAAAAAAGTATATCTTGTTCAGATTTTATTGTCTCCATATAGCAATTAAATTAAATTCTTGAACACAAACAAAAAGGGCACCTCAGTTCTATACTCTACAGGTAGTCCTTGACTTATGACCATTTGTTCAGCGACCATTCAAAGTTACAGCAGTGCTGAGCAAAGGGCCAGTCCCCAAAGTTACAGCCATTGCAATGCCCCCTCAGTCACGTGATCAAACTGGGTGCTTTGCAGCCCGCCTGCACTTATGGCCACAGGGGTGCTTCAACTCTCCCTTCCATCATATCTCCCCCCATCTATGCTCTTTTGGCACCCTGTACTCTGCAGCTCCTGCTGCCCCAGCTGACCAAGCATGCCCAGCCTGGCCCTTCAAGAGGCAGTTACTGGCTGCACGAGGTTTTCTTCACAAGGTCGCACATGGTGGTTTCCTTGTGAGACCTGGAGAAGATGGCCTCACGTGGCCAGCAGCTGCCTCGCGAAGGGCCCGGGTGGGCACACCTTGTCATCAGCAGGAGCAAGAAGACAGTGAAAGTCAGCTGGGGCAGAGAAGTGCAGGGCAGCAGGGGCCTCAGAGTGCAGGGTTGCAAGGGTGACTGAGACTGGGCTGGGGCAGCTGCAGCTTCCTAGGGCGCTGCGACTTCCCAGGGCGCTGCTCAGACTTCCCGAGGCTCTATGGCGTCATGCCACACTTCTGGGCTGGGGTGGGGTGGCTGAGGCTTCAAGGGGTAGCTGCGGCTTCACCCTGCGCTGCAGCTCAGGGGCTTCTTGCAGCCCCAGAGCCGTGCCTCACCAAGCCCCTGAGCTGCAGCATGGCAAGCAGCCCCAGACCCACACAGTTCTGGGCTGCTTGCCAGCCCACAAGGGTGGGTGCAGAGTGGTAAAAAGGGCAGAGATGGGGGGGAGATAGGTGGGGGGGAGTTGAAGAGAAGGCAGTCCCTTACCTTACCAAGATTCGAGGCTGGGAGGGACCAAGCCTGGAACGGCTTGGATTGGGGTGGATCCTCAGCTAACAACTGGTGGAATTCAGTTAACAACAGCAACAGGGAGTGCCGGGGTTGCCATCACTAAGCGATAAGGTCACGTGATGTCGCACTTTACAACCGCATCACTTAGTGATGGAAATTCTGGTCCCAATTACCATCCTAAGTCAAGGGCTACCTGTATTTTTCTTAGAAAGTTCATTTCAATCAATTAAAGGGACCGTAAAGGGACAGTAAAACCCAGTAACCATTATACTGTCTACTTGTGAACTAAAGATAACTTTATAGAACACCTCATTTATCTTTGACTGGACCATAAATATTAATAAAAGTCATGTGAATATCACCATTTTTAGCAACCAAAATTATGTAGTGACCATGAATATCTAAAACGTCTTGCTCAACTGTAAAATCCGAAGACTTAACAGAGCAACTCCTCTTGATATTTTCAAATTGCCATTAACAAGAATCTGATCAGTTCCATGCAAGTAAATATTTTTCATTAGGGAGAATATGGGTTTCTTGCAGAAATACTACTTCAGCTTCAATATCTACCACTTTATTTTTTTAAAAAAAATATATTTATAAAACTTCAATTTATTAAAAATAAATCATCTTGGACTTCCCTTTGCTTTTTCTGCAGGTTCTGGGTTAGGGTAGGCCTTTTGAACGAAATTTTATTAATGTCCTGGGTAAATTGGTCCCCTAGTTATCAGCATTTTTTGTTTCACTGCTACTACATCCTGTTTTAACTTGCAACTTAAAAAAAGAAAACCATGAGGTTGAAATTAAACAAAGATAAAAATGAAAAAAAACAAATTCAGCAAAATCCAGTTACAGAAAAGACACCCCAAAAAACACCTGTAAAAAAGAAAAAGAAGAAAAACTGTAACCAAAAAAAAAAAAAGTAAATGAAAGTTCTAAAAGGACTAAAGGCAAAGGTATCCCTTGACTAATCCTTATTCTTCCTCCTAAGCTAAAATATATTAAAAAACATTATCTACTTCATAATTACATATAAAAGAAAGACATTTGTCCTTGTGATAGTTACATAATTATTTGAAGACAGCTGTTGTATTTCAACATCAACATGGGTTTCAGATCTTATTTTCAAGTAATTGGTAGCAACCTAAGGATCATACGAAGTGAAAGGCATGGTGTTATGGTGTTTTTCTCCTTCCTCCAGGGTTGGTTCCAGCCAGTATGGGGGGAGGGAGCCCCAGCCCTAGACCCATGCTTGCCTCAGGCTGTATTCACTCCCTCCTTTTGTTTATCATGTATGTGAAGCCACTGAGTGAAATTATTTGTCAGTATGGGGCAAAGTATCATCAGTATGCTGATGATACTCAGTTCCATATCTCATCTCCAGGCCAGGTGATGCCGACAAGATTCTTTCCCAGTGTCTGAAGACTGGGGAGGCTGGATGGGAAAGAGCAGGTTTCAACTCAATCCTGGCAAGACCTAGTGGCTGAGGGCTTGAGGCCCTCTGAACCATGAACTCAGAACTGATATGCAATTTGGGGGTCCTCCTAGATTCCCAAATCCTGCTGGTGGAGGTGGGAGCTATGGCCACTCCATTTTGGGCAGCAATTGCACCTGTTCCTGAATGAGGAGGCCCTGCCCATGGTCACTCACACCTTGGTCACCTCTTGTATGGACTATTGCAACACACTCCACATGGGGTTGCTCTGGAAGACCATCCAGAAGCTGCAATTGGTCCCAAATTCAGCAACATGGGTAGTTAGGGGCACCCATGTAGCACTGCTACTCTGTGAGCTGTGCTGGCTCACAAGAGGCTTCAGAGTACAATTCAAGGTATTTGTTATCACCTATAAAGTCTTACATGGTACACAACTGGGTTATGTTATTTGTGGGACCACCTGTCTGGTTATTTCTGCCCATTCCAGAGACTCTCACAAGACCAGCATGCTCCAAGTGCCCTCTTTGAGGCAATGTCATCTGATGAAAGCTAGGAGCCATACTTTAATGTTGCAGCATTTGCCCTCTGCAATGATTTCCATTACCCCCCAAAATTTGGGTGGCCCTGACCATGTTAGCCTTTAGCAAAGCTTTAAAATTTGGCTTTGGGACTGAATGATAGATGAGCCCATTCTCCACAAGTTGAAGTACATGATTGGTGAGCCCTGGCTCTATGTTGTTATGCTGGCTTATGGATTCATTTTTGTTGACACTGTATGATTTTTATTTGCAATATTGTTAGAGGGGATATTTTATTTTATGCCTATGGCCACCCATCTCAGCAAGGCAACTCTGGGCAGCAAGCATAATTTAAAAGATCAATATAACAATAAAAAAATAGATATATAAACATATCAAAAGCAAAAAAATGAAAAAATGGCAACCAAAGATAACTTATCAACAATAAATTAATAATACCACACAGGCTCAACTAATTTCCCAACCCCTATGCCTGAGAGAATAGCAAGGTTTTAGGGGTTTTCCAAGACACCATCAGGGTTGAGGCCAATCTTAATCTCAGGTGCGATGATGTTCCAAAGGCACACATTCTGGCTCCCACTAGATGACACTCTTTAATAGATGCTGCCTGGATCATGCTCCTCCTGCCAGATTTGGTGGGGCAAGTAGAGACAACTAGAAAGAGCAGTCCTAACCTAACCCTAACCCTATCAACACTGACTGAAACCAACCCCAGAGGAGGAGAACAAGTACAATACTGTGCCCAAACTCCCAGCTCCTGGAGTCGGATAGGATACAATAATAGAGGGTATCAAATGTCACTGAGAAGTCAAAAGAACAAGAATGGACACACTACTGCCATTCCACTCTTGCTAGAGGTTATCCACACATGCAACCAATGTTGTTTTGGTTCCACGTCTGAGCCTGAAGCCAACTGAAGGGAGTCCAGATACACTCCCTGCAGTTACACTTAAGTGAGTTAGGCAGCTATATAAACCTTTTAAGTAAATTAAATAAATAAAATGTTGTTGCTCCACCATCCAAAGTTTAGAGAAAAATTGCAAAATATGGAAAGAAACCTTTGCTGTCTAATTGTCTCTTGTTGTCTTGCTGTCATAGTTAAATTATTTATACTTTTTAACAAGCTTGGAAGCCAAATCAGGAAGGATAACTATCTTCTTTCAGCTCCTGAAAACATTTCTTCATAAGAACTACTATAAGCTGTTCATCCTCTACTTATCAAAAACATAATACTCTTTACCAGTTGACCTTGAATCGGTGTCACTTCCTCTTCATAGGCCACCAACTCCTTTCTAATTGTTATGTCTTTCATTTGAGGTGCTTGGATTCTTCTCTTGTGCAATTCAAATATTTTCTTAAGCTCTTTAGTTTTCTTCTCCATAGAATCAACTTTCTAGTATATCAACTTTACTCATATTTTGTCATCCTCCTGCTTATGGATTGTATAACGATAATCAGCTCAAAATTAGTTACTTCTCCTGGCTCAATTCCAGGTGGCAGGTCTTAAGTTAATATTGCTTGCTACGCATCTCGAATCTGATATTCAATAATATCATCAGCCAAAACAATTGCCTCTTCTGTTGAAGCCAAGCTCTTAGGCACAGAAATAATTGGATCAGCAGCTGGTAGGGATTGTTCTATCTCCATCTGAGACAATACCACCCCAGTGGGTGAAATGGAAGCAGGAAGAGTCTGTTTCATGTGTTTACAAGGCATTCTATCTCCCCCAATTCAAAACTTAGAAAATAGAAAATTGTTTAATTAATATGTCTGCTTACCAATTATTTTTAACAAGCAGTCCAGATACAGTTTTCAGCAGCTCACAGAGGGAGAGAAGAACAAACTGCAGTTCAACATGTCTCCAGGTTGGCCAGGAGTCAATTTTTTTTTGTTCTTCATGGATATCTTGTTTATATCTAACAACTGAGATCCACAGAGCAGCAGTAAGCTATTCACTGACATCCTTAACCACCAGCAGCCAGAAATATATAATGAAATAAGAAGAACTGAAATAAAATAGAAAATTAAAGCACAAGTGAACCAAGAGAAGCCTCAAGTTGTGCCTCTAGTTTACTACTAATTCAGCCTCTACAGTCAAGGCTAAAGTGCACAGTCTTGAGCACTTAGGGCTATTTAATAACTCAGCCTACAACTGACTATAACATACTCTGAAAGTTTTTGTGGTGTCTTTGTTGAATACATCAAAACTCACTTATGGAAGGACTGAGCTCTTCTGAATCCTTAATATCAAAAGTATTAAGACTTAAAGATGCCAAAGATGTGGTTGTAAAAAAGTGTCTTTTCTTTTTTATTTGGCATATTTTACCATGTTTTTGCCTATATTCTCAGACAAAGTGTATCTAAAGCAGCTTTGGTTTTTTTTCATAATTGTTTCTTATAAGGTGAACTGTTAACACTACACTATAACAATTAGAATTGGCTTATGTGCCTCCACAAAGTTCTATGGCATTCTATGATGTAATTACTTTTATTCTGTTCCAAGCGGGTTCCAATCCTCTTTCCATTCATTCTGTTCACAGATTAATCTAGCTTCTCATCTGTCTTCATATAGGACTCATACAGCAATTTTGCTTTCACTCCAGTTTTTTCCCCCACTTCATTCCTTCCTTCCACGTATTCAAAACAGGCATTTCCCTAAGCAGATGCTCACCAAACAGTCACTATTCTCAAGAGCAGTTTTGTCCAGCACCTGCTCACTTTCATATTCCACATATATGCCTTCCAGGTTGCTCGGAAATTCCTGAAGATCATAAAGCGTCTCAAAAGCAGAAGGCAACAAATCTCATCTGAACCAAAAAATGATCTGAGGCAAAGGACTCAGATCTATATCAACTGCTCTGAAGCAAAAACAAGGTCTAATATGTGTGCACTGGGCCCCCAATTACCTAGCCCAAATCCATAGATGCTATGGAGATAATTAATTGCGGAGACTTCCCAGAAGCCACTCCCAGAGCATGGAAGCTGAAATCCCCAAATACCAATAGGACAGTCCAACAACATGAGGTCCTATAGCTCAGGAAGGAATCCAGTTAGGCAGCAGGATGGTAAATGAGCAAGTTCTCCAACCTGTCACTACAGTCTGACTTTCACACTATCACCCCAAGAACAGGATCACAGGCAAGTTTTCTTCGAGATCATCCTTACCACCACCTTGCCATTAAAGCTGCTGCACAACCCAACCCAAACCCAAACCCAAGAAGTGCAAATAATCAAGAGTCCTATATCCCTGTTCTCATCCAACCAGATATCAGTAATATACTCCAGGTCCACTCACACATCTACCACCAGATTACAGATGAAAATGGTCTTATCGCAGACAGATCTGGTGCTTTCCAACAGCAGACACTGTCAGTGAATGACTAATGGAACTAGATCTACATGGAGGGAAATATGCAGTGGGGTGCCTCAAGGTTGTCTTGGGCCCAGTGCTCTTCAACATGTTCATAAATGACCTAGATGAGGGGATTGAAGGGGAGCTCATCAAATTTGCGGATGACACAAAGCTGGGGGGAATTGCTAACACTTCAGAAGATAGATTCAAGATTCAGAAAGATCTTGACAGACTTGAGCATTGGGCCCTATCTAACAAGATGCAGTTCAGTGGAGAGAAAAATAAGGTGCTGCACTTAGGCAGGAAAAACCAGATGCACAGGTACAGGATAGGTAGTACCTGGCTCAACAGTAGTGCCTACGAGAGGGATCTAGGTGTCCTGGTGTACCACCATTTAAGTATGTGTCAGCAGTGTGCTGCAGCTACCAAAAAAGCCAACACAGTCCTGGGCTGCATCAACAGAGAAACAGTATCAAGATCAAGGGAAGTGACAGTACCACTCTACACCGCACTGGTAAGGCCACATTTGGTATACTGCATCCAGATCTGGTTACCACAATACAAAAAAGATGCTGAGGCCCTAGAAAGAGTGCAGAGAAGAGCAACTAAGATGATAAGGGGTCTGGAGGCTAAATCCTATGAAGAATGGCTAAAAGAACTAGGTATGTTTAGCTTAACGAAGAGAAGACTGAGGGGGGACATGATACCAGTCCTCAATACTTGAAGGGCTGCCACAGAGAAGAGGGCATCAATTTATTCTCCATAGCACCTGAGGGAAGGACAAGAAGCAGTGGATGGAAGCTCATCAAGAGGGAGGT